ATAGAAAGAAAGGAGTTCGGCTCTTCCTAGCCAAAGGGTTTGTGAGTGGTTAAACAGAGTTCCCCCACCCCCACCCCAATTCTGGTGGTCGTCAAACTCTGCTAATTAACAATGCTGAGAAATTCCATCCTAACAAGGACATTCTCTAAGTCTCCGCTGCTTCCCTGCCGTTCGCCTTCATTTCCATAAGAAGATTAGGAGTGCAGGAGAACACACTCAAATGCAGATGTAGAAAAGAAGGGTTTTTAACGAGCATCATAATAATAAGATGCTTGGCTAGTTCTCGCCTAATTACTGCAAGTTAAACCTCTATTTGCAGCTAAGGACCAAAAAAGCGGGTGGGGAGGGAGAGAGAAGGGGAGTTCCAATCTCCCCATCTCCCCAAGACAAGATAACTTCGTGAGTTTAGGCTTGAAGGCTGAGTTGTGAGACAAACCGATTTTTGCGAGCGTATCCCCACCCCACGCTCCCCGTTTCGCAGCGAAGATGCCAGAGGGTTCTCTGCAGGCATCCGGGCGAAGAAGGGGATAGTTTAGATCGGAAGGAAAAGAACGACAAGTTCCAGGACAGTCTTGCAAATAAGCTCATAACGTAGCCTTCCCACCGACCCCCTTTAACTCTCGAATGCTGGGAAACGGGGCGGGGGGGGGGCTGTTTATTTCATTTCCATAAATTATACCGAAGGCAACGAATTCTAAATCCATTCAGATTAAGCGTCGTTCTCCGGGCCTTCCTTAATGGAATGCCTGTATCGTACCAGTGGATGAAGCGAGCGGATTGGGGGGGGGGGCGGATAAACGGGGCGCTGTTGGCCAGAAGCAGCCGGCAGAGAATCCAGTGGGTGATGCCGTGTCTCCTTCCGACCGTCTCTGGCTAGGTGTGCAGACGCTGTTCAGGAGGGAGGCCGGGATCTCGGCAGGGAAGCGGGCATTCCTCGATCTGGCAGTGCAAACTGGGGTGAAGGGAGCGTGAAAAGCGCTATCGCTTTTATCTTATTTTTCTATAGCGCATTATTATGCATGTATGCCAGAGACAGTTCATTGCACTGATAAGGAAAACACGGCTAATTAAAATAAAGCGGTAAATACTCGTGATAGCGCAATTGTTAGGTAGCTCCATACCTTATTTAGATGATAAATGCAATTAACAAAGAGCTAAACCAGCCACTTTAACCTCTTAACTGTGTTATTATAGAGTTCAGTGCCAATAAAAAGCATCTAGTTATGGGGTGGGGGAAGTACCATTTCATCCCCTTCTCCAATCCACTCGGCTCCGCTTTCCTGCCTCCATCTACAGCCCTATTTTAAACGCGCACATATACCTCAACACCCATCAGTTTATCATTGTATTAAGGGAGACAGAATCATTGCCTCCCACACCCACCCCTTTTCTTCAAACTTAATTATCCATAAGATTATTTTAAAGGACGTTATTCAAGTGTTTAGGGTAAAGTATAAACAAGAACAAAGTTAAATACGGTGTCTGGACAATTAGGGTGTTCTTCTGTATTTGTTTGGGGGTGCCAAGGCGCTGGGGGATTGCTGGCGTTTTCTTAGAAGTCTGGGGAAGTGGAAGGACCACGGGCTGGTCTGATGCACCACCAGGGTGCCAAGTCCGACCAAAGCGACCGTGTGAAACAAGCCTTTTGAGGATCGCAAACCCCTTAATTTCTTTTCCACTTCCTACAGCTTGGTAGAACTGAAGATAGTAATTAACAACGAATAGCTCGGCGCCATTAAAGCAGAGTAGATCCGCTTCGTAGTAGCGATCATATTTCGCATTAACTGCACAACTGCCGTACAGTCACCTGCTTTCCCCTTTGGGGCCTTGTCAAGAAACATTTAGTTTACACGGTAAAGGGGATTTTGTTTCGCTTTTGTCTGAAGGGGGGAAGGCGAATTGACCAGTAGGGGGCGCACCGACCCTATCCGTAAAACCCCCAGCTCTGAACGTGCCGGACGCCTTTCCAGGCTTCTCTCCTTTTCTTTTGTGTGCTTCGGAATCACTTCTCAGCTTTTTTGTTTTTCAAATCCGACTCGGGTGGGAGCTTTACAACGCTATCAATACTTTCCCCGCTTGTTGCAGGCTTCTTCAAAATATGAAATCAAATTAGGATGCGTTCAGAGAGTTCATTCCCGCTCCTCTGTTCCTTTCCAGAGCCACCCGTTTGAAGTTGAAACAAACTTAAAGCCGAACTAATGGGGGAGAGGCCCGTTTTTTTGGCAGCGAGGGTGTCCGCGCACCTTTTCTTCCTAAGCAGATGTTCCCAGCTACGTTTTCTTAAAGTAGTCAGAAAGCGGCCCTTCCTCGCAGGCACTTCAGAGAAGACGTGAAGGCAAAGTAGGGCGGGGGGGGGGGGGGGGGGGGGGCAGAAAATAACCCGTTTTCCTGAATTTACAGCAAGCACGGAACGTGCCTGGCATCGCCCTCGCTACGTTCTTCTACTTTTTCAGGGGCTGAACGAGAGCGGGATGGGGGCGTGAGGAGGCATCCCCGAATGTTTAAGCACTTTTATGACGCAGACATGATAGCAGCGTTTCTCTCGTCCTTCCTGTCTTTGTGTCAAGTGCGTTTTCGCAACGAAGATCCTGGCAAGAGCCTCGAAGTAAAACTTGGCTGGTGCTTTGTTTAGCGCAGCGTAGAGACCGCGAGAATAACACAACTGCGCGCTTGTAACGGTTCTGGTGCCGCCTGCCATTGCCGCGGGATCTCGCCTCTGGAAGCCATCTCTGTGAAAGGCTATAGGCAAGGAGAGGGTGCGCACATCTAAAAATCGCCCTCCAAAATCTAGGTGGTGCGCGCGGCCGTGGGGCCCACCTCCCCACTCCCTCTTTCCCACTTATTCGGCTGCTGCACACCTGCTGCCCGAGACGGCCTGATAATGCCACACTTTTTAATTGAGAAGAGGTTTAAAGTGTGTGTGTGTGCGCGCGCGCGCGCGTGGGGGGGGATTCTTGATACATCCATTTTCAGGACGGTTTCTGTGCTTTTATTGAATCTTTGCCTCTCCCTTTTGGAAGACTGCGGGTGGAGAAGAGGATTGGGGCGGGGGGGAGAAGACGTTGCTTTTTATTTCCCTCAGCAATGTGTCGTGCGAAGTAGCCACGAGAGGAGTCTCCCCGGTTGAGGAGATCAAATGTTTGGCGCGAGAGGGGGAGGGAAGAGCGACCGAGCACAGCTTGGCGTTGCTTTCAGGCGCTGGATGGGGGGAAGGGGCAGAAAGGGGCCAACGAGCGTGGAAGGGACCTGGCGTCGGTCAGAAAGAAAGCAGAACCCCCTCCCCTCCCCTCCCCTCCCCAAAACCCGGAAGTGAATCCCTTTGATTACTTAGGATAGCCCTGTGGCACCCAGCGCCAGAGAAGGCGCGAGTCCTCCAGCAGCCCCTGCCCCGACGCCCCCGGGCTCCGTCCCTTGGACCGCAGAGCCGCCGGGTAGCGGCGCCCCGACCCTACCTTTGCGCACCTGGGAGTCCCACTGAGTCCCATGGACTAATCCCCCCGTGAGTGCGCCGGTGGTCCAGCGCAGCACCAGCCAGAGGGGAGCGCGTGGCTGGTGGATCCCAGCTTTAGCGGCAGGACCCTGGGCTCCGGCCAGGGGCGGGCGCCCCGCGCGCCCCGCGCCTGATGTCCAAGCGCACCTGGGCGCCCGGCCATCGAAGGCAGCCGCAGGCGAGAAGGTGGGTGCGCTCGGGACGGAGCGGCGCGCGTCCGCGTCTCGTGCTCGCCGGCCCGGCGGAGGGCCCTTCCCTCGCACGGGTCCCTCTGCAGGAGGCGCCGGAGCCGGCGTCGGCGCAGCCACCCGGTCCTCGCGGCGGCAGCGGGCGCGTGGGCACGTCCCCGCGCCCGGGAAGCTCGGCCGCCCGTGATGGGCGAAGAGGCCGGTGGGCAGGGGCGCGGGCTGCCGTGGCGCGGCGGGGAGGGAGCGCGTGCAAGCGCGCGGGCGCTGGGCTGAGGCGGAGGCTGCGGCAGGGGGCTCCGTCCCCTCTCGCCCCCCACCCGCCCTACCTTCTCCAATCTGTCATGCAAAACAGCGAAAGTGGAGCCCCCCCCCCAACCGCGAGTCAACATCAAGTTGCCGCGGAGCGGGGCTTTTTTGTTGTTTTGTTTTCCGCGTCGCCACAATGCTGTTTACACGCTTCCTCCCGAAGGCGTGTGTGACCTGTTGCTCGTGCGAGGAGCGGCGCGGGGCGCGCTGAGTGGCTGCTCCCGGGCCCGCCTCCGCCCGCCGAGCCGAGCCGAGCCGAGCCGTCCCGGCTGGCGCGCCCAGGCCCCGCCCCCTTTCATGCAAAACCAGAAGTGGAGGCTTGTGCTCAGTGGAGGAGCCGGCGGGCGCTGATTGGCCGGGCCGAACGCATTTATTCCCTGACAAGCCCCCCATCACATGGATGGTTGTCTATTAACTTGTTCAAAAAAGTATCAGGAGTTGTCAAGGCAGAGAGAGAGAAAGACAGAGAGTGAGGGAGAGAGAGAGAGAGAGAGAGAGAGTTTGGGGGGAAAAACAAAACAAAACAAAACGAGGAGAAGGGGAAAGGGACTTCTGCTGGCTCTTTAAGGCTGGGAGATACGGCGAGGGGGAGGGGGGAGGAAAGAATAGGCAAGGAAAGGAGGGGACACGGACCAGGAAGAAGTTTCTCCATCAACACTCTCCGGGCTTCTTTGTTATGATTCTCCTTCAATAATCGTCCGAGGGCTGCTGGCGGAGAGGACGATCCTGGTGCTCGTCCGGACAGGGGAGGTTCTTCTGTGGGGGGGAGATCTCCCCTCCCTTCCCCCTCCCCGAGAAGACAAGTCCAGCTCGGGACATTCGCAGGCTCCCGTCGGCTGCTTCTCCAACTTGCTCTTGCCTCCTCCCCCCCTCCCTCGTTTTTTGGCGGTGGTCGGATCGCTCCCTCCGGGCGCGCGGATTTTCCAACTGCTGCGACCTCGCTGGGGTTGCCGTCCACGGTGCCGCAGCCTCCCCGCCGCAGCCGCTGCGCCCCCTCCCCAGCAAAAGCCGTTTGAATGTACAACATGATGGAGACCGAGCTCAAACCTCCCGCCCCCCAGCAGACTCCGGGGGGAGGCACGGGGGGGAACAGTACTGCCGGGGCCAACAACCAGAAGAACAGCCCGGATCGGGTCAAGAGGCCCATGAACGCGTTCATGGTGTGGTCCCGCGGCCAGAGGAGGAAGATGGCCCAGGAGAACCCCAAGATGCACAACTCGGAGATCAGCAAGCGCCTCGGGGCCGAGTGGAAACTTTTATCCGAGGCGGAGAAGCGGCCGTTCATCGACGAGGCCAAGCGGCTGCGCGCCTTGCACATGAAGGAACACCCGGATTATAAATACCGACCGCGGCGGAAAACCAAGACGCTGATGAAGAAGGATAAGTACACCCTGCCGGGGGGCTTGCTGCCGCCGGGCTCCAACTCCATGGCGGCGGGGGTCGGCGTGGGGGCCGCGCTGGGCGCGGGCGGCGTCAACCAGCGCATGGACAGCTACGCGCACATGAACGGCTGGGCCAACGGCGGCTACGGCATGATGCAGGAGCAGCTGGGCTACTCGCAGCACCCGGGCCTGAGCGCGCACAACGCCGCCGCCGCCGCCGCCGCCGCGGCCGCGCAGATGCAGCCCATGCACCGCTACGACGTGGGCGCCCTGCAGTACAACTCCATGGGCGGCTCGCAGACCTACATGAACGGCTCGCCGCCCTACGGCGGCATGTCCTACTCGCAGCAGGGCACGCCGGCCATGGGCCTGGGCGCCATGGGCTCGGCGGTCAAGACGGAGGCCAGCTCCAGCCCGCCCGTGGTCACGTCCTCGGCGCACTCCCGGGCGCCGTGCCAGGCCGGGGACCTGCGGGACATGATCAGCATGTACCTCCCCGGGGCCGAAGTGGCGGAGCCCGCCGCCCCCAGCAGACTGCACATGTCGCAGCACTACCAGAGCGCACCTGTCCCGGGCACGGCTATAAACGGCACGCTCCCCCTCTCCCATATGTAAGACCTGGGGGGGCGGCGGGGGGGCGCGAGGGAGGACGGAAGGAAGGACGCGAGGGAGGCAAGAAGGGAGCGAGGGAGGAAGGAAGGGAGGAAGGAAGGAAAGAAGGAGCGAGCGAGCGGGCGGGCGAGCGCGCAGAGGCCGCGGCCCGCCGCCCACCTGCAGCAGGAACGCCGAAGTTCTGCCTTTCCCCCTCCCTCCCTCCTTCCCTCCCTCCTTCCCCTCCCCTCCCCTCCCCTCTCCTCTCCTCCTGGGGGGACACACACTATTTTTGTACAGAGAATAACTGGGGAGGGGGGAAACCAGCACAGCACACACAACATCCGAGCCCACCGAGGAACTTGTACAGCTCTTTTTGGTTCTTCTCGTTCTTCTCCCCCCGCCCCCTCCTTTGGAAAGGGATCCGGCTTCACCACCCTCGCTTACCCCTGCCCTGCCCCCTGCCCGAAGTTCCCGTGGAAACTGTACTCTGCAGAAAGGGTCTTTTTTGTTTTGTTTTTTTAAAGAAGTCTTTACCAATAATCTTTAGAACTAGACTCCAGAAAGCGACGTAGGAAAGGGGGAGGGGGGAGAAGGGAGGAAGTCCGCGGAATGGGGTGGGAAATGTTTTAATATTTGCAAGCAACTTTTGTACAGTATTTATCAAAATAAACATGGCAATCGAAAAGTCCATTGTTTATATTAAAAAGACAGAAAGAGAGAGAAAAAAAACCTTGAGAATTTGCCAATTATTTTTAAAATATACCGGGATTTACTTAAGATGCTGGGATAATTGCAGATGGGTTTATAGCAGCAGCAAAAAATAAAAAGGGAGGGGAGCTGAATTTTATTTTAAAACAAAGAACTGGACGTTTTAATTGTTTTACCAATTGTACAAAAGGAAAAAAAATAGAATAAGTACTTGCAGACCTTTGAACTGGGTTTTTTGTTGTTTTTTAATAAAAGGGCAAAAGTTTAGGGTGTACTAATTTTTTTTACACATTGTTAAAAAAATTGTCTTGCCCATCCTACACATTTGTTAATTTAAAATAGCCCTTTTTGTTTCCAAACTTTATCCTGTTCAGCTAAAAATGGCAGCAAAACAGCAATCTGAAATTATTGTGTTTGAAATATTTTCTTATGGTTTGTAATATTTCTGTAAATTTATTGTGACAATATTTTAAGTTCTTTTATTTTGTCCCTCCTCATCTCCCGTAGTTGTACTTTAAAGACTCGGCTGTGTATTATCTGAAATCAGTCCGCCGGCAGTCCATGTATATATACATATAAGTGCATGTATACAAGTATATACATGTATATGTATGTATGTATACACACATATATATTTGACTAATACCATCCTTATAAACAGGTACCTATTCGACTTAAGTTTTTACTCCATTATACACAGTTTGAGGTAAATAAATTTTTGAAATATGGACACTGAAATTACACTTGAGTCTTCGATTTATTTTTAGCAAGCAGGTTGCAACTACATTTCATTTATGCATGTATTGCCTATACTGCTCAATGACTCATTATAACTGTTTGTGATAAATTATATGGTAGCATAAAGATCTACAGAATGGGGAAATCCTTCACTTTTTTTTTTTCCTAAAAGGTAATTTCAATGCTAGGCATTTTCTAATTAAAGTAATATAAGGCCCAAAATGTGAGTGTTAAAATCAGAGCAACTTCTCCTGAGCTGAAGTGTATTTGGCTGTTGGTTGGATTTTGTTTTGTTTTGTTGCGAGGGGGTGTATAATAACAACATCAGCAACAACAACAGTATGGAAAGACGGTTCAGCCAAGTTTTGCTCTTGGAAGAAATGGCCACTTGTTGCCGGGAGGCTGAGTGTTAAGTTGAGCAGAAAGAAAAGGAGGAGGAAGCAGGTGGGCCTGTGAGTCTGCTGACTTCTTTCAGAACCAGGGCGATCTCCATCCGAAGCAGAGTATTTAGGAGAAAATGGGCTTGACGTGAAGTTGCCTGTGTGCGTGTTAGCGGTGGGGGAATTGCAACGTCATGGCTTCAAGATAATTATACCACGACAATTCAAAAAGGACAGCTGTCTGGGGTGGTTTCTGACTTTCTAAACTTTCTCTGATTTGCTTTTTTCAATGTAAGAGGCAAACTTCCCAGGATTATGTGTACTTGTGTATATGTGTGTGAGGAGGATGTAAGGGAGGGTGGAATTAACTATAAATCATCGATACGGAGAATAATAACCTACAATTTGGTAATGCCGTAAACTTTTCACAAAAGCTTTCTTTTGACTCCTAGTTCATAATTCACCAGCGAGGTGAAGCAGCCGAAAGTCAAGCCCTCCCCCTCCCAAATGCACATTAAAGAAGAGAATATTCGCCTTTCAGAGGCAGATCTTGTTTAGCTTTCTGCTGTTCTTAATGTACTTTGAGATCTCTTCCGCGCTGTTTAGGAGAAAAAGCTTTGTCGATGTTTAGATTTCTAGTCTGTACAAATATCTGCTTTTCCACCCCTTTCAGTTTGCAATGCACCTGCTTGGTAAGTAAATTCCACAGAAATCCGCGGGACTTAGGCCTCGATCCCAAAATAATTATTTGGAAGTAATTCCCAAGGCAAAGTCGTAAAACCTACCTCCAGGTGTATGTGCTTGGGATTGGTGTGTTTCTCTCTCTCTCTCTCGCTCTCTCTCGCTCTCTCTCTCTCTCGCAAATGTCTTAGGAAATAATGCATACAGTTTTGCGAAGCCCTGCCGCTTCCACTCTAGGCAGGCCTCTGGGGGAAAAGAGAGTCTCGAATCGGTGGAGCCCAATTCTGAGTCGCTGTGCTGCTGTTTGCAATGGTGGATCCTGGGTACAAAGTGGAAGAAACCTTTCACTGCCGGGACCTGAGCCACAACCTTCAGATGTTAGTGCCATTTTCTCCTATATGTGTATATAATCCTCGAATTGTTAGTTTTTTAAAAAATATATTCATTTATTTTGGAGACTGACCAGTTACAGGAATCTCAGCCAAAACCCTTTCCTTTGCAAAGCAGCTGCTTGGGTTGGAAACAGCTTCCTTGCACATCCCAAGATACTTCCAGTGTAACCATTAAATTGCATTAAAGGCAAAGATCCAAGCCACGCTCGCTTGAAAGTCAGCCCAATGATTTCCCTGCGACTGTGTGCCTGGGGAACAACCCTGACTTGAGGACCTTAAACCCATTTTCTGCGAATTAATTTCCATTGACGTCCGTGCGATGCTTCACCTTAAACATGTTTGTATTTAAGTTCTTTGGAACCTAAAAAGGAATCCCCCAGCCCTTCGTGCAAACCCTAAATTTGCAAACTGCAGAAAGGAAGTTTCTATGCAGCCTTTGATTTGCACCAGGCCTCCAAACATCCATTTATGCTGGTGATTATCTGTCCCATTTTCTATGCCAGGCTGGAATTGGACAGAAATACTGGATTATTATTCTAAGCTCCTCATCTCCCTGCTCCTTCAATGAATGCCAAAGAATCTTAAAGAAATTGCTTGCATTTGTAATGCATCCAAGGGCACTCACGTGATAGGGCCCTCCCTCTCTCCCCTTTGGAGTTTCCAAAGTATGCATCCTGAAATAATTTCCAGCCACCCCACTGATGCTTATAATTATTTTTAAATAAATATATCCAGTGTAAAAGTTAGTATTTTAAGTGGAAGTTGGAGTTAGGAGGAGAGTCTGGCTCGAGAAGGCTTTCCAGCATAACTGGGCTGCGGGAGGGAAGCGTGTGGGGAACCTTCCAACTACTTCCCAAGCTCCATGTTGTCGCATTTAAACAAAAGGTGCGCCATTGATCCAGCACCATTTTTCCATTCCGGATTGTTGGGTTAGCAAGCCTGTATTATTATTAAATTACGATTCTTTTTGTTTGTTTGTTTCCTGGTAAGAAAATACGCTTGAAATCTTTCTTTTGCACTAATTGTGGTCTCTCTCCCGCTTTCTCTCATGGATAATAGAGGGAGAGAAGGCGGGAGGGAGGAAGATGAGCTGGGCAAAACGTTATGCATGCAAATCTGGATTCGTTTTTCAAAAATACTGATCTGGCAATAGGAGGAAACACTTTTGCTCTCCTTCCAACCTGATATTACAGGAACAGGCTTCATTTAACATTCGCTTTTGCACCTCCAGTGTATAGTAAAGTCATGTCCCCCCTTCTCCTTGTCCTCCTCTTTCTTTTTCAGTGCCGTGTTCCTTTATGGTGGCCAGAATCTGCATGTATATTATTTCTCCTTTAAAAAATAGACGCTTTGATTGGATGTGGGCTGGTGGAGACCAGGCAACCCGTTTTTTTAACACCTACCCCCAGCCAGAGGACAGACCATGGATAAAGAACCCTGTGATTATCTATCTATCTATTTATTTCTTGCCCCCCAGCATTTTAAGGATGGGTGTTAAAATATTTCGCTGACCTGGAGCAGTAGATTAACAGGGTTTCTTGGCAAGCTGGAGAGCCTGGTATTACAGACTGTCCCAAGGGGAAATGGCTCGAATTATCCACTAAATGAATATTTGACAAGGGCTCGTTTGGGGGGTATTATTACTACAAACGGGTCCCTATTGGACTTTGCAAGGGTCAAAGAGCAATGGTTCAATTAATTATTTAGACTGCTAGTAGATTTGGTTGTAATCGCTGTACTTATTCCTCCAAGCGACAAATTCTTGCAGTACAGCAATCTCTGGAGAATCTCTCCCCCCTCCCCGCCCCAAGCCCCGAGCACGAGCGGAGGCGAGGCCGGCTGCCCCGCGAGACCCGCGGGTGGGTGCGAGGGAAGGGCCTCCGGCAGCCAGGCCGCCATCCCAGCGGACTTTCGAGGTACCGCCAGCTTCTCGCTTCCCAGGAGGGTCGTCGAAGGTGCGCGTGTGTCCACAGCCCGGGTCTGGGAAGCAGGAGAGTTGCTTTGACCTGTGGGCCGAGTTGCAGCCGCCCAGCGAAGGTCTCCTGTGTGTTTACCCACAGATGTAGATATGGAGTCACGTAGACCTGTGCCAGGTATTCCAGGCCCAGCAGCCTTGAGCAGC